TGGATTTTCTCACAGATTCTTATCCTGCACTCAATACATTGTYGATCCCTCAAATCGAACAAACTATACAAATCATTTCTCTCTTCCTCGGTACTGAGTAGTTCGTTCAATTCCGTATATACGTCGTTTATTTCGTCCTTTATAGAATCAATCTTGTCTCTCGTGATTTAACAATTCAGTAACCACGCTGCTCGAATTTGACAGGTAATTATCAACGCTTTGGATTTGATGACTTAACTTAATGTCACAYGCCCCCTTGTTCCTATTAAGGATAGTAATTCGGTATTCCCTTCCCTTCTCGGTAGGTTCCCTGTCAYGTTTGTCGTCTTGCGTAACGCCATGATCGAGTGTCTCGATTGCTATCTTCGATTTGTTTGCAGAATTTCCGATTTCCGACGGCGATTTTTTACTGTAGTTTACGAAGGACTAGTTTAYTCAATACACATGAAGTGACGCGGGATACCACTTTTAATCTTTATTGTGTCCATAAATCACGTCTCTTGTATATCTAGTAAACTAAAGACAATCAAAGTCACACGCTAGCCTTCACCAAATGTTATGTAATATGGCAACACGTGCATGGCATTTAAAGTATACTCATTTAAACTCTAGGGTTTTAAGAACTAAAATCACAATCATAAAATAACACGATTAGGGTTCTAAGGTTGTTAATGAACTCAATTCTTAATCAAATACGCTGCAACGTGATCACTCGACCTCTTTTCCACGACCAATCTCGAGGAAGCATTTATCTAAATTATTGTGAATTATTTGGTAGCGCAGGACTGATATGTAAGTCAGATCTTTMATTTTTTCTTAAGTATTTAGAACATTAGTTTATATATGTATAGCCACTACGATTGGACAAATTGGAACTAGAACTTCGAATTTGTACATCGTTGTACAAACGTGATCCGAATATGTACGAAAATCGTATCAGTCATCATTTAATTGATATAAACAAACGATCATTACAGCTATCATGACTCTTGGGACTATTGACGTCCAGGCAAATGGAACCTGGTCCCAATCCAAGGTTTGATAACGATGTTTTCTCATAGATGGCACTTGAAGGCTTATCTGTATCTTTTTTTGCCAAGCACACCAATTTTATGGTACAAGACTGTGTTTTGCCTKTCCCTTTTTTAGATGRTCGAGAATTTCATGGCTGGAATGAAACCCTGGTTTGGTAGTTAAGCACTCTACGGTGTTCTTGAGGAATGCTTGTAGTTACAGTTGAAGAACCAGAGTCATTTTTTGCATTATCTGAAAAGRAAAATGATGCTAAGCTAAATTCCATATTCATCTTGATAAGTATTGCGAAACAAGGTTGTCCAAGTGCAACTGTAATAATCCGAATTACCTAAATATATTCCATTAGGGTTGAAAGGATAAGTACACGAATAACTTTTATGTACAATCTTCTCGTTGATACTCATGGAAAAGTTAACAACTTAAGCTTAATCTTATATTGCCTGTCCTAGAGGTGTTTAGTTCACTTTTATCTCAAGTAAATTTAATGTGATCTATTTCATGGTTTTCCGAACATATCGCATCCAACATCAGTTAATYGCATATCAATAGATTAACTATCAAGGAGGCAAGTGTTTAAAACGTTTTTGAACACAAGATTGGAAGCTGACACGATATAAGTAACTTTCACAATACACTACAGTGTAGCTTTGTAACCGAACCCTAATTGCAATCCAACACCTTTTTACTAAGGAGCTTTACGTGAAACTTTCAATTTAGTTCAGGCTTTAAGTTACACTTCGGGGCAGCCTCCAAACTGAAGATTAGATAAAAGCAAAATCTCACCAGTGTTTGCCAAAGAAAGTGACTGCTCAGCTACGACGAAGGGTTGCTTTAGCTTTCTTGTACGCCATCTCTGCAAGCTACAGTATGTGTAGTTCGTGTAGCACTAAAGCACGTGTGATGAGACCACGTCATCACTGTACAGTGGCTTACTATGGAATAGGTCAAATACACTCGTGCGTGAAGTTCATGAGTGTTGGATTATGATCCAACAATGATGGAAAGATTATGTGTTTGTATCTAAAAACTTTAAGACCTTAGTTCTTGAACGAGAAACTCTAAGTTTCATTATAATATACTGTTTAGAAAATAACGTTCTCAAAGTTGAATGTCGAAATTGATGTATGTCAAAAGAGCAATGTTGAATTTTGGCCAGGCATGGAAAGCTATTAACGATTGTTGAATCGTGGAACTCGAATGTTGGACGAGATTACAACTAAGTTGAAATCGAAATCTTCAATGTCGGAATAGTAACTACCAATATTGCATTGCAAGTGAAACACTGAATTCTTTACTAGAATATTGAAAACCTGATGTTGAATTTTGTTGGGAATATAACGCCATCGTAGGCTATTGCCATAGTGTAGTCTGCTAGAAATGAAAGCATGCACCAAGATCTCAGTACTTTTCCTAGATAAGTACTTTCTAATACGCCTGATGTTATAAATATAGAAGAAAGCAGAGCCACATAACTTAGTTATGTGCTCACTCATATTTAGGCAGGAATGAAACAACACGCAAAGACTTCTAACACTGGAAGTTGGAGATATCTCAACACAACCAATTTTGATACCTCTAAGACATACCATACCTTTGATATCACGTAGCTAATTAAGCGTTGATTCATGATGTTMATAATAAAGCACCAAAAATGTCCCACTGCAAAATAGTATATATTCGCCTTGATACAAAATCGGAAATTAAGTAAACTTTGGTAGCCTTGATTCAGCCATCTTGTTGTTTAGAATAGAATCCGTTAGCTCCCAAAGAACCAAAAGGCCCGTGACAGATTAGACAGCATCGGTAATGCATGATCCTTTATTACATGACGATTGTCATTGAAATAAGCGATTTTGCMATCTCCTCTTGCCTCGAGTAGAAAAATTTTCATTGATGAAGATTCCTGTTCCCTTAAGGTTCTTCTTGCATTTCAGTATTTTCTCCCTGTATTTGTGTTTAATAAACTTGGCCACAATGTCCCTAGGTTTACCGGCTCTGGGCTTGCCAATGCGGTTTGCCCTTTCAATCTCAATACCTTCGGCATCCATGTGCATTTTCGAAAGGATCSTTTAATTTTTGTTCAATAGAGTCCCAGCTTTCGTGGCGATCTTCCTTCACTCCTAAAAATCCTCTGGTTGCTCCTTCAGCTTTGGTTCTCTAAGCAATCTAACTTGTCTTCAAATTCACCAAATTGCTTTGTCAAATCTTCTAGTTCAGTCTTCAAGGTATCAATGCTATACGTCTTATTCTTGAAATCTTCGATGTCCTGTTGAGAGTATTCAAGACTCTTGATATCACCGACTTTACGAGTCAGTTTGTCTAATCTTGAGTTGAAATCTTTCATYATTGTCTTAAGGATGGCATTAAAACTGTTACTTGGAACGTCAAGGAGTTATTTAACTACTCTTAAGGTAACATATTCAGAGCTCGATTTAGAGGCGTCCACAATCTTTGAAAGCATGCATCCTTAATTGTTCATCCTTGACATGTATCAATGAGTCATCCACTATGATGTCAACAGGAATTCCTTCAAACAACTTTTCCATTTGCCCCTGATTTCTTGGGCTGGAGCTATGCCAAACGATTGCCTTGTGAACTGATATCATCCCCATGGAGTGTTGAAAGTTAACTTGGAGCTAGTTTCATTCCTTGGGAGCTGCCAGAGTCCATTGAACGCATGTAATGTAGAGACTGTTGCTGAGCCAGACAGCTTGTTTGCAATTTCCTCGACAGTGACCATGGGGTGATGTACTTGCTTTGATGCAGTGTTCAAGCCTCTAGGATCTATGCAGATTCGTACTTGGAGTTTGGAATGCTTTTTCTTTTGGATCACTAAGAGCAAAGACTCTACAATGGTCTCCAACCTCACTAGCTAATGATACAAAGAAAAGGCATGAGTGTCAAAGTCATATGATTATAAGTAAAATAACAACAAAATTAACATATAGCTCTTTCTACGTTTTCCGTCACCTAACTTTTATAAAATTAATTTCTAGTTGATAAAATACTGTGCTGTACGTTAATTTATTTTATRTATCATTTCCTTTTACTTCATTTCGGTGCGCACGTAACCAACATTGCAAAGTAGAAGTCAATCAAACAAGCAAGCAAGCAATATTTATGTACATGTATTCACAAATAATTCACAAATATTACCTTATAATCTCCCTTGAGATATTGCTTGAGGAGTTTGAGTTGCTCTTTGATTTCACGCACAGTTGATTCGGAGGCACCATAGTTCAACAAGGTGTTCATCAAAGTGCGTAGGTTATCAAAAGCTCGGCCACCTTCAGCTGCGTAATTGTCTAGTCCCTGAAGACTTTTCCTCACTGAGGCAACACAAGAATCTGACAGTATCTTGAAGAGAGTGGATCTTGAAAGGGGTTCATAAGAGTTCTCCTTGCAGTATTGAGTGTATTGCACAATAAGTCTTGATGGCATTAATGTCCGTATAACATGAGGAATTTCGATTTCAATATTATTAGATAACTTTAGAGTCTTTCTACCTAATGGTAAGTCATGAACTGTATTAGAGGCAGTGATAAAATCTATAAAGTGTTCCACCTTTTTGATATCAACCTTTGTTCTCAGTTTCTGTGGTTGATTTACTGGAAGGCCTGCACCAACCTTTAGGGTATATCTTCTAAATGCAGTAAACTAATATCGTGTTAGATCTGGTATGTATTTCAAAAGGTCTTTGTAGCTGATTTTGTTTGCAACAAAACTTAGTAGCTGGCGTCTTGTATCAGATCTTGATGCTTGCTTGTATGACTCAGATAATGCAACTAGAAATTCGTCACCAAGTTTGGGGTCTTCTGCGAGTAGTTGCTTTATGATATCATCACCACTTTTGATTGCATGCCATAAGGGTGCAGCAGATTCTGGAGCAAGAGTACGGAGAATTTCTGTAATGATGGTACTCGCCTTCTCTGTATAATACGATTGCGTTTTTTATGCTATTCCAGGAACGAGTCAGGACACTGCCTAATGGCTCTAGACTCAAATGTTGGAGAAAAGAGGTCAGTGATAAGATCTTTTCTTTTTCATTTTTGTCAACCATATCATAAGACTTACTGTTGCTTTGCTCTGTAGAAACTGTCTCTTGTGACGATGGCTGGTAAAGTGAATGATTGCTGGCATCATCCTCTCTTATTTCAAAGATTTCCATTTCTAAGGCTAAACATTCCATCTCAACATCATCCTCGATAGAATATTTGTCATTTTGTATCTCCTGTACATAAAAAAACATTTCTGTATTATTGATTCAGTTGTACCACCCCTRCAACACTCCGACCTTATTTAGCCTATAATATACAAGGAATAAGAATGCACATTCTGTAGACATGGCTATTAGTAAAGTGCTGAAATACGTTTTGTTCATAACTTTTACATTTCTCACGCGGTGTTTAATTTGGCTGAGGGTTATTGTCTAATCGAGGACAGATGCATGGAATGGCGAATCACTAATACTCAGAATTCGCGCGCGCTAGAAAAATTAAGGCAAAACGAAACAAAACAACGGCAAACAAGCAAAAACCAGTACAGGAAACTGGCTTATTATTTTAAAAATAACTATARTTAGACTCGTTCCCAGTCATTTTCTTCAATTTCAAAAAAGTAATAATAAAAACGCTCAAATTTATCGATATTTTCAATGAGCCACTGTTATCAGAGCTGAACCATGAAATATGATTTTGCGTGCATTAATTTTGTGCCAACCTTTTTTTGTAACAACTTTATTTGTCTTGAAAATTTTTCACGACAGTGTCTACAAATAGCTGCAAAATAAACAGAGATTCATAGTATAATCCAGGATCCAGGATTTTGTTAGGGGGTGTATGAAATGAAGAAATGTATACCTTTTAATAAAAAAATAACACAGTAATTATAGGGTTAGGGAGTGTCCGGTGGAACTGTGGACACCCGCCGGATCCGCCACTGATAATGATGATGATAATAATGCAGGTGGAGGTGGAGGTGGTGTTGGCGATGGCGATGGCGATGGCGATGGCGATGGCGATGGCGATGGCGATGGCGATGGCGATGGCGATGGCGATGGCGATGGCGATGGCAGAGGCAGAGGCGTTGATGGCAATTAAAACATATAACTAAGAAATTCGCCACCCTTAAATGTTCTCCTTTTGTGTTACCTGATCCAACTTGAACTAGAATTGATGTTTCGTGCCTAATAAACACAGACGTCTCCTTGCTTACACTTCTGTCTGCCTTGGGTGGCTTGGAGTGTGCCGCCAAAGACTGCGGAATCTGGCAATTGACTAGATGACCTCGCCAGTAAATTCCAAGGAAATCTCGATTTTTTGGACATACTATAATGGTTTCATCTAGTGTATCGAAAATCCCTGTCGAAAATGTTTAAAGTGCATATCACCTCTAAAATGATAAAAAATTGGAGTAATCTACAAGGACCAAATAAACCATTCTCGTCAGAATTTGATTCTGAACAATTCTTAATTTTTTACAGATTTCTAAATATTTTTTTGGCCCCGCCCTGGCCGGGATTTTTGGGTCTGGGACTAGCTACCAGAAATGACGACAAGATAGGTACCCTTGACCTGTCAAACACTAAGAACACTGACTTGACACACGCGCAGATCTAAAATATTTGACCTCTTTGAAGTTTCATTGTTTTAACTGTTCTTATTTATGGCAATACTATCAGTCTTCTGATTCTAAATTGAGCTACGACTGGATGAATGTGAATACAGTTCTATTCCTGGAGTTGTAAAGTTTTCGATAGCTTATTAAGCAAAGAGGACTAGAGTTCGAGARGACAGAATAATAAGTCTTATGAATGCGAGGACGAGTACCTTGAAATCATGGATATGTTTGAAGACGGGCCAGCCTAGAAGCGAAGCGCTTGACTGGCGAAAATGCTTTAAAGATTACATCATAAAGAAGAACAGTGTAAAGTTAATTGGACAAAGACAGGTTTTTAATAGTTTCTCTAAATTTGTCCAGCTTTTGACTTGTAATCATTCGAGACTTATACTGTTTACGTTTGATATATACATATTTTATCAATTATATAAGTCTATTATCTTGAAACATACCTCTTGAGATTTTGAGGTTTTGCTTAGAATCGTTCGATTTTTGGGAGTTCTTAGAGTGCTTTTATTTCTTGAATTGAGTGAGCGTCGAGCATCAAACACAATCTACCACGATTATATTGCCATAATCAAAGTACGAGTGCTAACAGAATCGCTTAACTCAGTTGAACAAAAGAATCTTATTTTCAATCGCTAAAGAGAAGGCTTTTCAAAGAAATCCTACAAAAAATATCGACTCCCTAATGAATAAAATACAAGTGTGCGGACAGTATGTTCGTGACCATCACAAGGTTGATGGCGGTATAGTACAATCATGCGAAAATTTGATTAGCTCAGTAATAGGCCATTTGCAGCAATTGATCACGTGTCAATTTGCCCCATAGCAACAAGCCCGTGGTGGGCAAGCTAACCACGCATTCCTTGACAACAATAA